TTTTGGTGGTAACTGATTGTGTGCTCATTTTCTAGGTGCCTGATTTGCTATACTTAGCTATACCTAAAATCAGATCCAAGTCATCTCAGATTTGGCACCTAAAATTAGTGGATACTTTTGACCCTAATCTCCTTATGCCTCAGATTCCCTTTTATAAAATTGAGGTAATAGCTCCTCATTTCACTGGGATGTGGTAAAACAAATTGTATTTATGTTTATGATACTCTCAGAGACTATAGTTAATAAAAAAACCCTCGATGTATATTATTAAACTATGTTAATAAAAATGTGATGTATATATGTATGACAAAGTGAATGTGTTTGGTGGTTTTAAAACCCCGAAAAAGGCAAATATTGCTGAAACATTGCCTGGCATATAATTGTGTTGCTTCTACACAAATATTACTAATATTACCTAATGGGGTGTGATATGACTTTTGTTTGTTCATGTACCTCCTAGTTTAGCAACCAAGATATTCACAGAAACATGTATCCCCAGAAATCATGGGGTAGTTTACGCCTGTCAGAAATATTTTTTCAGGCTTTTGCAAACTGAGGCAAACAGCAGTGTATTGGTTTGTACTTGATTCTTGCTTTCCAGGTTTTCACTGCAACATTAAAGACTAAACACAAAATTTGTATTTAAGCTGAAAACCTACATTCTGAAGCCTGATTTTGTGGTAAGGGTTAGGCAACACAATTACTAAATTATGAAATATAGGCCTTGTATGTCAATTAGTGACTGCTAATCCCAAAAGGAGCAGGAATTACAGAATATTGGGAAGCTAATAATAACCTTATTCCAAGTAAAAGTCCTGCTCCCACTGAAGTTATTTTGGATTTCAGCTGGAACAGGACTGGGCTCAAAAATCCTCTAATAATTTTTTAAAAGGAGTGTGATGGCATGTTTGCATCTCTTAATGAATACTTTGCAAGAGCCCTTAATATGCTCTAGGCACCACAGGAATTCAGGTATATACTATTTTCATAAGAAAGGCACGTGGTTTGCATATTTTAATATTCTACTGACTCCTTTGGGCATACTACAACAGGATACTCATCTCCTGAGAGGTGCTGAGCACATTCAACACCCAGGCTACGTCTACACTGGCCCCTTCTTCGGAATAACCATGCTAATTTAGAACTTTGGAATAGGGAAATGCGCGGGGGATTTAAACATCCCCCGCGGGATTTAAATAAACATGGCCGCCGCTTTTTTTCCGGCTGGGGAAAATCCGGAAAAGAGCGTCCAGACTGGCCCGATCCTCCGGAATAAAGCCCTCTTCCGGAGGATCTCTTATTCCTACTTGAAAAAAAGCGGCGGCCATGTTTATTTAAATCCCGAGGGGGATATTTAAATCCCCCGCGCATTTCCCTATTCCAAAGTTCTAAATTAGCATGGTTATTCCGAAGAAGGGGCCAGTGTAGAAGTTACTGACACTGGTTGTGTTCAGTACCTCACAGGATACAATTAGGACTTATTCAGGTTCTTTGTGTTTAATCACATGATTATTTAGCCACTATTTGGCTATGCACAAACTAGAGATGATGAGTTCACTAGTTAAATACAATAAGAGCTGATCCAGACTTTATGTTGCTTCTGTGCTTCCATACTCTGGTGGGTGTCAGAAATATACCTTGAAAAAGCTCAGCAAGGGCCATTGTGGAATTTCTGTTCCAGTTTTCCAGATTCAGGAGTCTGGATAAAGTAGTAAGGACAAGCTGTTGCAAGGACTGATTATCCAGAACTGGGATCTGTCTACCTGAGCTCAAGTATGGGACCATCGGCCTGAGATTCTAATTCTCATCCCACAAATCAATTATTGGAATGTCTATATGCAAGGCAGGAACTTGGCCCTGGACTCAAGAAGCAGGGCTTCCATATGGAGCTATCTACCTGAAAGGGAGGGCTCTTCCAATGGGTTCAACAAAGTCTCATCCATGATATTGATTTCCCGTGGGTACTGGTGCTTCCCAGCAGAATGGTTTTGTCTTCTTCCTGTCACAGTGGATGGATGACAAAGAGATGGGGGCAAAAAAAAAAAAAAAAGAGAGAGTGTTTGAACCAAACTGCAGATACATCAGGCACACACATTTTATTACAATAAAAACGTCCATTTTGAAAGGCAGCAATGAAGAGACTGTGGTGTCCCCAAGCCCCCTGACCAGGGAGCGGGAGGGGGAGGGCAATTGCCTCAGGGCCCAGTGATTCAAGGAGGCCTGGGGCTCACAGCTGTCATTGCTGCTATTGCAGCAGCAGTAGTAGCTGGAGCCCCGAGCCTTTTAATTCACTGCTGGAGTTGTTTCTGAGGCTGTGGATGGTATTGTGTTCTGCACGACTGAGGTTATGAAGCAAGTGATGCTGTTTTTCCACAATTTCTGTGCACGTCGGCGGAAGCCTTCTATGTCTAGGTCCAGACTGTCATTTCGACCCTCAGGAGGAGTCCAGGTGGAGCTCTTCTTCTTGTGCCATTGGTGGGAAGGTATCTGTGTGTCAGTGCGCTGTTCAGTGTTGTGTTGAAAGTATTCTTTGACTTGGAGACGGCAAAAGTAGACTTTCGGATTATGGCAGAACTGTATCATGTTTGTGGGGGCAAAAAGAGAGTCCCCGAGATAGGACAGACTCTTCTGCCGGGCTGAGTGTGTAGTTGGACAGATTGACGATATTGATGGGTGAGGTAGGGGTACCACTGTTGTGGCCCCATGTGGCACCTGATTAGCATTCTGTACAGCAAACAGGAAGACATCAAAAAAGAGCTCTCCAATCTGGAGACTTTCATAAAAAACCAACGTTCCACACAAACTTCACCACCGCTGGACTTTACTGAAATAAGACAGGAGATCTACATTACACACTTCACTTCTCTACAGATGAAAAAGGACTAAGCTGTCTAAAATCCTACCTGCCACGAGGCCACAACACAAGAACGTGCACAGGCAGAAATAATTCCGACATTATAATCAAAGAGGCTGATAAAGGAGGTGCTGTTGTTGTCATGAGCAGGTCTGACTACCAAAAGGAGGCTGCTAGACAACTCTCCAATACCAAATTCTACAGGCTACTTTCCTCAGATCCCACTGAGGAATACACTAAAACTGTACCATCTGCTAAGAACACTCCCTACACAAGCACAGGAACAAATCAACACATCCTTAGAGCCTCAACTGGGGTTATTCTATCTATTACCCAAGATCCACAGACCTGGAAATCCTGGATGCTCCATCATCTTAGGCATTGGCACTCTCACTGAAGGACGGTCCGGATATGTGGACTCTCAACTCAGACCCTACACCACCAGCACTCCCAGCTATCTCCGTGACACTAGGCAAATATAACTTAGATAGGGCCACGATAAGGTGGGTGCATAATTGGCTGGATAACCGTAGTCAGAGAGTTGTTGTTAACGGTTCTAAATCCTGCTGGAAAGGGATAACAAGTGGAGTTCCTCAAGGGTCTGTTTTGGGACCCGTACTGTTCAATATCTTCATCAATGATGTAGATATTGGGATAGAGAGTACTCTTATTAAGTTTGCAGATGATACCAAACTGGGTGGGGTTGCAACTTCTTTGGAGGATAGGGACATAATTCAGAATGACCTTAGCAAGTTAGAGAAATGGTCAGAGGTAAACAGGATGAGGTTTAATAAGGAGAAATGCAGAGTGCTCCACTTAGGAAGGAACAATCAGTTCCATACATACAAGATGGGAAGCGACTGTCTAGGAAGGAGCATGGCGGAAAGGGATCTAGGGGTCATAGTGGACCACAAGTTGAATATGAGTCAACAGTGTGATGCTGTTGCAAAAAAAGCAAATATGATTCTAGGTTGTATTAACAGGTGTGTTGTAAGCAAAACTCGTGAAGTCATTCTGCCGCTCTATTCTGCACTAGTTAGGCCTCAGCTGGAGTACTGTGTCCAGTTCTGGGCGCCACATTTCAAGAAAGATGTGGAGAAATTGGAAAGGGTACAGAGAAGAGCGACAAGGATGATTAAAGGTTTAGAGAACATGACCTATGAAGCCAGGCTTCATGAACTGGGCTTGTTTAGTTTGGAAAAAAGAAGATTAAGGGGGGACATGATAGCGGTTTTCAAATATCTAAAAGGGTGTCACAAGGAGGAAGGAGAAAATTTGTTTCTCTTGGTTTCTGAGGACAGGACAAGGAGTAATGGGCTTAAAGTGAAGCAGGGGAGATTTCGATTGGACATTAGGAAAAAATTCCTAACTGTCAGGGTGGTCAAATATTGGAATAAATTGCCAAGGGAGGTGGTGGAATCTCCCTCTCTGGAGATATTTAAGAACAGGTTAGATAGACATCTGTCAGGGATGGTGTAGACGGAGCTTGATCCTGCCTTGAGGGCAGGGGGCTGGACTCGATGACCTCTCGAGGTCCCTTCCAGTCCTATGATTCTATGATTCTATGATTCTATGTGCCAGCAATGCCTCTCTGCTATATACATTGGCCAAACTGGACAGTCCCTACGTAAAAGACTAAATGGACACAAATCAGATATTAGGAATGGCAACATACAAAAACCTGTAGGATCTCAATCTACCTGGAAACACAGTAGCAGATTTAAAGGTAGCCATCCTTCAGCAAAAAAACTTGAAGACCAAAGAGAAATTGCTGAGCTACAGTTCATCTGCAAATTTGACACCATCACCTTAGGATTAAACAAAGACTGTGAATGGTTAGCCAACTACAGAAGCACCTTCTCCTCTCTTGGTGTTCACACCTGCAGATAAGCTGCTGTAAGTGGGCCTCACCCTCCCTGACTGAATTAACCTAATTATTTCTAGCCTTATTCTGGCCTGCATATTTATACCTGACTCTGGAAATGTCCACTACATGCATCTGATGAAGTGTGTCTTTGCCCACGAAAGCTTATGCTCCAATACATGTTAGTCTATAAGATGCCACAGGACTCTTTCTCGTTTTTGCACGGACAAAGGGGTTTACCCCCATTTAACCAGCTGCAGGAAAAGGGCCTTGGTTTGAATTTACATGTATAAAACCAGGGTATTAAACATAAACTTGAGTATGATTAACAAAAAATATTCAGGGGCTGCTTGGCCCAGAAGAACTGACAATGGACTCTTACATATGATAATGGGCATGCTGCTTTTTATCAGCTCAGTAATGATGGCACATTAACAATAGGCTAGTGACAGTGATGCAAAAATATTCATGAAATTTCACAATACAGGTTTTGCTTATTAATTTTGCGAGGTTTCCAAAGTTCTCAACATTTTGTTTTCTGAGAAATACCGATTCCCAATTTTTGTGTGGGTGCAGATCAGCTTGTAAAATGCCCTTCTAATTTGCATTTTCTTTCTTTTATAATTTCGCAAGCTCCAAATTTTATACAGTGGCAAAGTAGCCACGTTTTGACAGGCTGTGCTTATGGCGAGAAAACAGGGAAGGATGACTCAATACAGAAATAATCACAAGCACCACTGATCTGCTGCTGCATACACCGCCCATGCATGTTTTACAGGTGCAGCAGGACAGGATTCATTAACCCCTTCTTTCCAGTTTGAGGTCTGTACATCTCATCATACCATCTCACAACTTTTCAGTAGTAAGCATGAACTGAGCTTGTTCAGTTCCAGCTGGACAGCTATCCCCTCACACAGCCCCCAGTATAATTAGCATTAATTAACACCCTCCTTATCCATCTCCACTGAGGCCAATTACAAAACTGAGCCATGGAAACTGAATTAACTTGTCCCCTGGGCTGTGTCTAGACTCAGGGGGTTTTTCGAAAAAAGTAGCCTTTTTTTGAAAAAACTTCACCTGCGTCTAGACTGCAGCCACGTTCTTTCGAAATTAAATCGAAGGAACGCGGCTTTTCTTTCGACGGCGGTAAACCTAATTTCACGAGGAAGAACACCTTTTTTCCGAAAGTGCTCTTTCAAAAAAAGGCGTTCTTGAATGCAAACAGGGGTTTTTCGAAAGAGAGCATCCAGACTGCCTGGATGCTCTCTTTCGAAAAAGCAGCTTGCTTTTTCAAAAGTTCCGCTTGCAGTCTAGATGCTCTTTTTCGAAAGTATCTTTCGAAAAAGCCTCTTTCGAAAGAGGATGAATGGTGATACATACAGTTAGTCGTGTTCTCTGCAGCTCCGACTTGAAGCTCACTAATAGGTGACAGTGAAAGAGAATATTGTACTGACACTTTCGATAATGCATCCCTTCTGTTGGATAGAGAGAGGACTTCATCAGACAGAGCTGTCAAACCAATAGCGGCAAGGAAAGCTGAAATTAAAGTAAAAGAAACTATTGCACTTAAAGACCAAAATAAACTCAAATAAAAGGACTGGAAGCTCAGCCACAAAAAGGCTCTTTGTTTCTGAGGGCCTGAGTTAAATTAATTATGAATCCAGAAGACTAAGATCATTTTCCAGCACACCGTCTGGCACCCAGATATGCACAATAAAGTCAATCACTTTAGCTGGAATGTAAATTAGTCCTCATGACACAGCCTCAGTCCATGTCCAATGGTGCATCCTAACAGTGTCCTAGGTCAGTTCTTCATTTCAAACAAGCCCTCTTTCCTCCTTTTCCAAACAGTCAGACATCCTCACACATTGGAAGGAAACCTGTGTCTCCTCAATGCTCACCATCCCAAGAATGGCATCCAATAGCCTCAGTGAGCATCAAGCCAATAATGATGGTAGCCATTTTATAGGCTGCAGAGAAATGAGTGCATAGGAGGGCATGTTCTATATACAGGATGGTGCAAGATCCAAGGGCTTGGGTTTCAGTCTATTCCATCTTCTGCCTGGTTCCCTTCTGTGAGGGGTGTGTGTGGAATATGGAAATGGTTGTAAGTGTATGGAAGGGGGTAGGCCTCTGATCATGAGTTGCTACATGACACTTTGGAGTAGATATATGTTGGACAGATCTGCAAAGCAATGAGCCCTCTGAGCTCCATCATTCAGCTCCATGTTCAGATGAGGCTTCTGGATCAGAAATCTTCATTTCATCTCTTTTGACTTGTTTTTCTTCCCTGCCTCTCCCACCTGTCGTTGGCACAAATTCTCTACCGTGTTCTACTCCCTTGTCATTACCAGAGCTGCATGCAAGACTCTTGCAGGGAATCCCATAGTGCGTGGGAGTCTTCTGGAAGCATAGGGATGAAGTGATCATCTTCTACACCTCTTCTCACAGCCCCTGCTACATGGGTTGGGTGAATAATAGGGAGAAGTAGTGGCCCAAATGGTGTATGGTCCCTTGGGGACTGCACCCAGTCAGTGCAAACTGAAGTAGCCCCTATTTCTCTAAGCTGTGTTGCAGCAGGGCCAAAGAATCAGGAAGCAGAACTAGCTCTTCAACAGTCCCTTTGCTGGTTCATTAATTTTCCAATGGATGCTGCCACTAAATCAGCTAAAGCATTGCTTTCCCTTCTGCTCATCTCAAGCGCCGAGCGTGGTGCCTCCAGAGTCTCCAGTCACTGCCGGCACGGTGGGAGTCTGAAATCAGGAACCAAATACCGAGATCGCTGCCCTAGGGCAGACTAGTCATTTAAAAAACAAATCTTGTAAGAAAGCACGGGTAAAGGACAGCATTGAATCTAATCCTGCAGGCTGAGGCAACTCAGCGCCAGCTTGCACAGACCAGAGATGGCAGCTTTAATAAGAACAAGATACAATCAACTCAAAGTGAGGCAGGCGAGGCAAGGCAAGAGAAGAAAATTGGGTAGCCTGTAAGCTCTCAAGAGGTCAGTAATTACTCAAGGTACATTCTCTTAAGCACGTTGTAATATGAGATTATGGCCCAGGTTTTCAAAGGTGTCTAATTATGCAGATATTGATTTCAATGGGAAGTGTATGTCTAACCTGCCTAGGTGCTTTGGTAATCCCACTAGGTGCTGCGGTACCTTTTACAATCAAGCCTGCAAACCTGTTAGCCAGGAGTGTGTCCCCTCTCCCTGTACAATACCTTTTTCCCCTCTCATAAAAATAGTGAGACTGATTCAGACCCCGGTTCCATCTCATTCAGTATCCTATCTCCAATAGTGCCCAGTACTACATGTTTCAGAGGCTGTTTTCTGCTTTGGAGCTGGAAGGTTTACATTCAAATTTTGGTGCATATCTGTTTGTTGCTAACCCTTACGTTGTTCTCAGTAGCCACAGAAATCTTGACTCTTGGGCTCATGGATGATGGCTTTGAAGTCCCATCTGCCATTCCCAACCCTTCTGCTCAGAGAAAATTCCTTTCAATCCAATGCTGCATCCTGCAGGAGGCGGCCTGGAACTGATGAGGACATTAGGCCTGGAGCCACAAAGGGATTTAGGCAATACAACACTGACCATTGCACCTAACTTTAGATGCAAGGAAAGTCACAGGAACACCACTGTACTCCCCAAAGCCTGAGCCTCTCTCTGTCAGAAGGACAGGGGGAAGAGTTGGGAGACCCTGAATCCAGTCTCTCATGTTAATCACTGTTTTGTTTAGTCACCGTGGAACAGCTCAACAAGAGAGGCTGCAGGAGCCACACATCAGAATATTGCATTGCCAGTGGGTAGAGCACTCAGAGGTGGAAGAGCCCTGTTTAAATCCTTTTTCCCCTCTGAGGCAGAGAAAGGGGATAGAACCTGGATCTCCCACCTCCCAGGCAAGTGCTCTAACCACTGGAATACAAGTTATAAAATAGGCACAATTGCCATTGGTTGGATTTTAAATGGGGCCCAAGTCAAAGGAGGTGTATTCAGGGGCCATCTATTTGCTTGGGCCCCGCATGCAAGAAAGACAAGCAAATCTCTCTCTTCTCCCAGATCATGAATTGCTCTGAGGCTCAGGGAGACAGGTATCCAGATTCCTGGAGTGAGGCAGCAGTGTGCATGTGCAGAGGGCGAAGTTTAGTGGTTGAGGGAAATTGTACCTTCGCCTTCTGGGCACCTACAGGGTTTGAAGGAGCTTTGTGGCTTGTAGCGGAGCCCAAAACTGAGAGTTCAGCAGCACCACCCAAGATTTTGGTGCCTGATATGGTGTTGAGGTGCCTAAGTATCTATGTAGATTTGGGTGTTGATATTTACACCCTGCCAAGGAGCAAATCCTGCCTGCCCGGCAGCCATGCTTCCAACTGTCTCCCTTCCAGGAAGAATGTAGTTCTCTCTGATTGGATCTTAATTGGCTTCATCTGTGACATGGGAAGCCTCTTCTGGCCACAGATTAGTATTTTCATTTCTGAAAACACAGCAGAGCTTCTGTGCTTCTCAGGGACCTCACTGAATTACATGGACAAGAAGATGAATAGAAGGGGCTGTTTACAAAGACAAGAAAATGTCAACTCACAATGAGGATTCAAAGCACAGTGGTAACCCTGAATTTTGCAAGAAACACCATTTCTTCATTCTGTCCTTCTACTGCATGCCTCACCCTGAGACATAAATGGCTGTAGCTCCATTGAAATCAATGCTGATTTATGCCTGTTGACTACATGTTCAACATAACCACATTTTTAGCTGCCAACATCATCTTTTTGCAGGAGAGCAATGAGAAGAGAGGCTAGATGTGTGTCCCCTCCACATCTCATGTTGCTATCTCATTTCCTGTCTCACCTTTAGAAAACATTCATCTCTTCTTCAATTATATGCCAAAGACTCTAGAGAAATGTTTACAGACCAAACCCAAAGTCCAGTTTACATCCACAGACACTCAGGAGTTAGCGGTGCAGAAAGGTTGGAGAAGGTTTATGACCTGACCAGCCCCTGCAGGGCCTGTTGATTTTAAACTGGAGTTCTAATTGCTCAGCACTCCAGAAAGTCAGGCCCCATGGAGCACACAGCAGGGGACTGACAGCAGTGGCTTGAGCCAGGGCAGTGGGGGCAGGTGCTGTGTATACTTCCCTCACATAGTTCTGCTACCACACCTCCGTCTCAAACTTACCCACCCCTAATACTGCAGGCCCCAAGCCTTGTTGGGCAGAGATGGGCAATTTTGTTGAAGGATGACAGACTCCTTGGTGATTTTGTGATGTGCACAAATGGGGAGAAGGGTGAGACAGGGCTATCACATTCTGCTTGTAAGGCAAGTCAAGGTTTAGAAAAGGAACTATTATTTTCCTTATTTGCTCTTTCCTTCACAAAGTTGCTAGTTTTTTCAGTCTTTAAAAACTAAAGCCAGCTACTGTTGCTTCCAAGTGCTAGTGATCCTAGCCAGCCTGCCCACCTTTCTCTGCAGGGTGCACATTACCCCCTCTACATTCTACCCAACATCCTACTGCGAGAGCCCTTTAGATTCCACTGACACTTAGGATCCACTTACTTTCTGGGCCAATGAGAGAGGCTTCCTGTGTTTCTAGGGGTTTGACTAGATTTCTAGGTAGACTAAATTGTGATGTTACATGTATTTGTGGTTTTCCTTACTTGATTGCTTGTATACTATCCATCCACCAGTGCCTGCAAAGCCTTTCCTGGATGGGAAGAGTAAACTCATTGTATAGGCAGTTATAATATTAGCCTTTTTTGTCAGAGAGAGAAAGTATTTCTACTGGGGGTAGGAAAGGATTTCTCAAGGTCCCCTTATTTTCCTCCTTTCCAATCCTTACCCTCAAAGGTGATACATTATTGTGACCTTCCCAAACAGTTAATTCAGACTAGATGTGACTCTGAAGATTATCAATTTCCAGAGCATGGAAGGGGTCACTAAAGAGCAGTGCCATATGATTCTTCTATCTATGAACTGATTGCAAAGCCGGTGCTTCCAGTTAGATTTGCAAAGGTCCCAAAAATGTGATCTGGGAAATTCCAGCTTAGGGAAAAGAAAGAGTATTAAGAAGGCAGAGATACACTGGAAAATTATGTAAATAAATGAAATCTTCAGCAGAGAAGGCACTGAGAATCACTATATCCAAATACCATAGCACGAAAAGATGTAATAATCCAAGTCCCTTCTGTAGGGAGACCATAATTTGCATGTCCTAGATCTTTGGCATATTGACCATCCTACAAAAATTCTTGAGAAGCTCAGAATGCTTTGTAACTCACTATCAGTGAAGCAGCCAAGTCCAAAAGTAATATTGTCCACTGCAATATCAGCTTGGGAATTCCAACCCCAGGTTGCAAGAAGCTGCAGGTGAAACCTTTGGAACAAGACAAAGTGTTTAGAGAGAGAAAAAAAGAAATGGAAACAAACTCCCACACCACAATGATAACATGGATTCAGAATACTTCTTAAGGAGAACCCCTGATAACCAGTCACAAGGAGATGCCATAAACCTCCCATCCACATTTCCTAAGTTAAGAACCCAACATAGTTCCCTCAATGGCATGGCTAAGCAGTACGTAATCTACGAAATTTGGAGAGTGAGAGTTGTTGTAAAGCAGGCTTTTTCTGTCCATGGCCTTCGCTATAGCCCATCCTGCCACACAAGGCCCCTCACAGAAAACCCAGACTGTGAGATACTCAGAGAAGCATGGGAAGCACAATGCAGTTGTTTGTGAATGGAATTTGACCTTACAGGCATCCTGAGTCTCACAGGCACCAAAAAACAGGGAGGTGAGCATGACTAGATAGTGCCTAGCTGCAGTTACAGATAAGCCTCGTTTGACCATAGCTTGACCGGTCTTATAGGCAAGAGAAAAAGAAAACATAGGGTAATAAAACACAACTGTCTCACACTAACCATGCCCCATCTAGTCCTGTCCACGAGGGGATCACGCATACATCACGAAAACTCCTATAGGGCAGTATTGTCATACTACCTCATCACTAGCATATCAGGCCCTGCCAAATGCAGACCCTAGCATGGCATTAGACACCAAATTTTTGTATAAAAGACCCTCAACCCCTTTGTTCGACGGAGGTACCGTGTATTGAGGGCACGTGTCTTTTTTTGCCCGGCTAAAAGATTGATCACCCTGAGGCTGCCTCCCCACCCTTCGAGTCAAATATAGGGGTGCACGAGTCCTGAGCATGCTCTATTGGTTTAATTAATAGTTAAATTTATGTTAATTTCACTGTGTAATTCTGTAAAGTGTATCTAAGTTCTGTTAACCACACTGTGTAAATTGTATAATTTTGTGTTGTATAGTAGTGTTGTATTTAGGCTAAGTATAAGTGTTAGAAATAGAAGCCCAGGAATTGTTAAGTTGTAAAAGTAGATTTATGACTAACTCCACCAGCTGCCCTAAAATAACCATAGAGGGGGCTGGCTTTGGATGGAGTTTTTCTTATCATTATATTGGCTTTGTTTTTGTATTTTTCATTAAGCAAATTAAAGACAGTGATTTGGTATAGTTGAATTGTAATCAAAGAAGTTTGTAATTAGTTAAGTACAGCTAAGTTTAGGGTTTTCTACCCTGTAAAAGCATTGGGCAATTGCTAGTTTAAAAAAACATTTGCTAATTGTTAGTTTTGATAAAAAAAATCATTCCACTTAATAAAAATAATTTGTTTCACCATCATCCAGTAGTTTTCACTGGGTAGTCGGCTTTAACCCTTGAGGCTCCCATCACATCACAGAACCAAAGTGTAACAAGAGTGAGAGTGTGTATATACACAAAACAAAAGACAAACCCTGGGCTAGATCCTCAAATGGTGTGAAGGAGGATAATCAAAAGAGCTACACAAAATGAAGGACCGAAGAAGTTTAGCAGTTACCTACTCAACATGCTCACTTTGCTGGGTGTCTTTCCCTTCTTAGGCTTGCTCAGCAGGAGCCATTTGTTAACTAGTTTATCTAGGTGGCTGCCAGGAAGATACTGTGTGCATGAAGACATCACGTCACACACTCTGAATTCAGCAGGGGGAAAATAGGCTGTAGGGTCCCTTCCTAATGGATGAAGCTGAACTGTTTTTGATTTACCATCATAAATAAATAAAGGTTTGACAGCTAAGTACATTTGAATCTCATTTAAAACATATGGGGAGACTCTGAGCTACTGGCACTGGTGAAACTCCACCATGATTTATGGGAGATAGAGCACTGACAGGCCATGCATGCTGTTTAAATATGTTAACTATACAGTTTGAGAACAGTCTTGTTCTAAATTAGAGGCAATTAAATTACATAGACCTGCCAAACATTGGCTCAGATTGCAAATGATGTAATGTGGTATAGCGCCACTGAAACCTTTCACCCTGCTTTATAGCAGCTGAAGATCTGGTCCATTACATTTAAGTGAAACAATTCACACCTACAAGAGCTGGACCATATGGGAAAAAGAATCCTGGTGCAGCACCAGTGTACTCTGTGCTCAGGGCTTGTTATACTCCACAGCCCTGAGCCAAAGAATCAGCAGAGGAATTTGCCATTTGTGCCAATTGCTGCAGAAACCTTCCTTGTAAACACGGTGTTCCTGCTTATTAGGGCAATTTTGCTGAGTCTGTTGCAATCCAAGAGTTTTTGGGCTCCTTGCCTGCCTCTCTTGTTTTCTGCCTGCCCATCTCTTCATACAAAAGGGAGATTTCCAGTTGGTTTTACTGAGTGTACAGCATAGGTAAGTGAACCAGAGGGAGTTTTTTAGATAGTGAAGTTTCTGATAAAGGCAATGAGTATGGAACTTCTTAGGTGGTCAGCCTCCTCTCCCCATTGAAGGTAAGAAATAATCATCCTGAAAGCTGAATGCTGCCAAAAACCACCTTCTTGCCTACCCTCCACTATCTAGTATTCCCTCCTTCTGGCCTCCACAAACTTCTGCCTTTTTACCTGATTTCACTCCTCACAAGCTTAACAATCTGGGTTTCAGTTCCTACTGCTCCTTCCTGTTTCGTGTCTCCTCCTATCCTACGCACACCCACGGTTATTCTCCCTCCCAAGAGCCAGGAACTCTACTCTACAGCAGAAGGAGGAGGCTAAAGATCTCCCTGCAGAAGTCAAAAGGAGTGTGGCATATGGTCCCAAAATTCCACTGCAAGGACACTTTGACACACAACAATATTGGATTCTGCATTAAAGTGGGAAGATGGCAGCAGCCAGAAATGCATCAAAAAGCAATTAACAGAGAGAGCTTTCTATTTAATAACAATGAATAACATTACTTCTTGTGTTGTTATAAATGAAGCTGGTAGCACCACCTAACATTGCCTGATAGTTCCCAATATGAACTCTTGCTTTTAGCTGTTTATAACTTTGCCAAATTTTAGCCATATGGACTGAAATTTTCCATGCAGGATGTCTGTGTCAGGCCAATCACTGATGATGGCAATGATGATTAAATAGCCAGAATTCCTCAGCCATTTCTGAGAATATGGCTGAGGAAAAATACATTGTTTTGCTGATGTTAAAAAGTTCTGAAAACCTTTTATTTGGCAAGTTCTAGCACAGGGGTAGACAGTAAAAAAGTAGCGCCTCCACAGGTATCAGGCAATTGCAGCTTTCAGCAGCAGTGGATCACTTTTTGTGGCCAATGAAAGTAGAGGGAAGTGGTGCAGACTAGGACACCACTTCCCGCTGCTCCCATTGGCCATGAATGGTGATACGCGGCCAATGAAGGATGTGATTGCCCCAATACCTGCAGAGGCACAGGTAAACACAGAGGTGAGGGCTTACCAGGGACTAACCCTGGCAGACTGCATCTGACTCATGGGTGGGAATTTGCCCACCCCTGCTCTAGAACCTACATTCTTTGGAACAAGGACTTTCAATATGGCAGGAGCATGGCCTTTGTATCAAGAACATGCCTTTTGCCATCCCTGTGGAAATCTGCTCCAATTTGGCCAAGTTATAAGCTTTCAAATACCGCAATTGGCACATACTGAGTAGAGATTTGTTTAACAGCTAAAATCTCCAAAGATTTCATCTATATGCGGCATGCGCCAGCCCAGGAATGAGCATGCTTTCCTTGTAATTGCTGCTATGAATTGTACCAGGTCCAGGCAGCTCAGCTGACAACAAGGAGTCTATCTTTCCTGTGCTATACCTGCAAGTAAGAGGATGGAGGTGGAAACAGCCTGATTCAAAGGCAGAGTAGATCCACAGGTACAGATGCAGGGAGTAGCTTGGGATGTGGAATGTGGGGTGGGAGAGACATGGAGGGAAAGGGAAACTGGGACTGGGATTTGGAACATGGGCATGACTGGGACAGGCTAGGCAAGGAGACAAGGACTGGAAGCCAGGAGGGAAGCTGTGGGACTGAGAGTGGAATAGGAGCCTGTGGGGGAGGACTGAGATTGACCATGGAGCTGTAGCTGGGAGGGAGGGCCTGATTGAATAGTGAGAGAGAGAGACTGAGAACTAGGGGAGCAGGGAAGTGGAGGAGGAGGGAGGAGAGGTAGGTCTGATAAGCTAGCATGTTAGGAGACAACTGGGACTGGCAAAAGAAAAAGACTGTGATACGGGCAATTCTATATGTCACCATCAAGTAGTGATAGGAACGTCTGTCTGCAGGAGAGCAGTAACTGAAGAGGATGTATTCCAACAGCCAGACCTAGAGCACCCCAGCACATGTGACTATAGGAGAGGCCCTGGAAGAAGTCAAGAATGCAAACTGTGCTCCACAGGCCAGCAAACAAATTTGTTAACCAATGGCACTCTTACCTGTTCTGGAGCACTGGCATTTGCAGTGTGATGAGAAACCAGTGGTCACTCCAGTTCCCTGCTCTTTCCCACACCACTGGGGAGGTACTGACTCCACCTGTCTCTTCCTGGACAGAGAACGAGATGGTGCCATTGTAACTTCCAAAAATATGCACAGAGAACTGGATCTGTAATAAAATAAGAGGAAAATAATGGCATCCTGTGTTGGAAGGAGGGTGGCAATATTACAGACAATCCATCCTTTCAACGCTCCCTCACCAAACTTTAAAATGGGAGCCTTTACTGTTCATGTCACCACCTGGCCGTGACCCGTCTCCTGGGTAGGTAACAGACTGTTGCACATGGGATTCAGCAGCTGGATCCAAACGCTTCTAAGCCCTGCTGCACCTGGGTAGTGTCTAGTGGCTGTCTCTAGCTATGAGTCTCTTGAGTGCACTCCCAGGTGCAGTCCCCATGTCTGACACCCTTCAGGAGCAGTGGGACCCTGCAGCCTGGCAGCTTGAACCCCAGAACTAGTGCCCCAGCCTTTTCAAGCCTGCATTTGCTTGGCAGTGTTCTCTCAGACTCTACTCACTAGGGGAGCTCTGATTTCCTTGTGACATCCCTCAGGAACAACATGGCAGTAAGGCAAGGAAACAGGCTCGACAAAGGAATTCCTTAACAAACACTTCACTCTTAAACCGCAGTAGGGTTACAGATTTTATGAAAACAAACTCCTGAATGTCTTCTCCCCCAATGTGCTGGCAATTGCTGACCCAGTGAGTCCTGGCTTGGGTCAGCCCTTAGGCCAGATAGCTCCCCCTGCCTGAAACAATGGAATGCCCCCCTTAAGAAACAGCTCCCTTAAATACATTCTCTCCTCATTGGTTATGTGATTAGGACAGGCAACTGCAGTGCTTCCATTTGTGTGCTTAGACTGGGGAAATCCCGACCCCCTCCTCAAAGACAAGTTTCTGTGTTGAGTTCATTCAAAGCCAATGGCCCATACAGGCAGCAAACCCACTGTTTCACTCATTCAGAGTTGATGCTCCTTGATGGTTTTCTCCTTGCTAGTCTCTTGAGGGGTCCCAGCTTCCTAGCATAAATACCCAATAGCCAGAATAGTCTGTCCTTGCCAGGATTTGAGTGGTTTTCAACACCATCTGGATGTCTTAACCCAAGATGGAGGTTACCATGCAAAGTGGAGGTTACCAGGAAGATTACAATAAAATGGTGCTCCCAAAACAACAAAGAATTTACTATTTGACAAAGACATACCCTCAATCTCTTCCTCATCATCAAAGGAATCTTTTCACAACTCCTCCCAACAGAGGATCTGCCATCATATTTGCATTCCCTTTGACGTGAATCACCTCCATATCACACTCTTTGGTGCCAAACTCCATTTTAGTAATTTGGCATGTAAGCCCTTCCCCTGGGTAAAACATGCTCCTCCCAAGTCTAATTAAAGATGCTCTATATGTCAAGGCAAATTCCTCCGTCCCATATATTCATCCAGTAAATGTCCGAAAAACCAAACCAACACACACGATTCATCAAATATCACAGAACAGTTCCAAAACTATCACACATATGTCTTTCCCTTTCAGATCACACTGGCTGGGTGTACCATAAGGAGTTTTCACACATGCCTCCATTGCCCCAGAACTTCTGGATCTGAAACAGATACTTGAACTTGCCACTTTGCCTTCCCATTCATCTGCTAGGGATTGAGGGAGGGGGGTTCCCCTTCCTTCCTTAACTAGCCACCCACTAAGGATACATGCTGCAGTTTCTCTCCCACAGGAGTGGTGTAGAAAGCATCTGAAAGGCTTGGTGGTCAGGATACATCTGGCTCTCAGTGAAGCTGGTTATAATGAAGCCGTAACTCCTGAGCTGTCATGTCAAATGGGAAAAGGATCCAAGGTTCCCCAGCTCTGGCACACCTTCTCAGTGCCTTGATCCTACCTGTGGACTGTTAGTCCCTGAGAAGAGAGATACAATTTCCTGTCTCTGCTCCACCTCCATGAGGGTCTCCTACCTGTGGACTGTTTGTATCTCTCTTCTCAGGGACTATTTCCTGTCTCTGCTCCACCTCCATGAGGGTCAAGAGATGGGGTCCCCTGGGGTAACACTCCATATCTAAGGTAAGGGAGACAGGGAACTTGCCTCCATGGCCATTGAATCTGATTCTTTGTGTCTGCACTCAAGCCCACCTGGCTCACGCCACCTATAGGGAACTGAGTAGCATTATCTCCCTCCTCCCAGCACAGGTTCATTTGTGTTCTCTCAGACACTCACCTCTTCCATAAGTGATCAACGTTGCCTGTTCCCCATCAACGTTGAGCTGGACTCTGGCTCAAACTTACAACATAATTTCCCCCCAAAATCTCAGATGGAATATCTACTAATAGTTGCACCACCAGTAAAGCTGAGCCCTCTGGGTATTTACCAGGATCTGGCCCACAGGCAGGTAAAATAGTTTTACTTTTGGAACTTGTAGCCACGTCTGCCTGTCTTCCAACACCCAATGAGATTTCAGTACATGAGACTCCACAGGAAAGGTGGCTGTGCTGGTGTCCCTCCATGCCTGGAATGTCTTTGCTTTAACTTCCACCTTCACTCACCATTGGGGATCAGGTGTTTCTGTACCCATGAGAAGTGAGCTCAGCCACATGTACACTATCTACCCCAAGTTTGCTGGTTATGTTGCCCCTTGCCAAGTAAGCAGGTCCTCCCTCTGGCTGGACAATCTCTGTGATAGTCTGGGCAGTTTGGCCACTTGTGCCTTGATCCCTGACAGTCAAAACACTTCAGATCTCTGAGGTTTCTCTTTGGAGGTTGGAGATGCCACTTGCCCATGGTGGGGTGCACCTGCATGACCACGCTTTGGAGCCTGATGCTTGGCTAGGTGGGCTATGGGTCAGCCACTCTAATTGCCAGTGTTCCCAGCTGGCTAACAGAGATAGGGAAAAAAACAACAAATGGTCTGGTAGCACTTTATAGACTAACAAAACATGTAGATGGTATCATGAGCTTTCATGGGCACTTCTTCAGATGACCGGAGTTATGAATTTGGGATCTGAAAACTTGAAATAAATAGAATAGTAATAGAAATGTAGCCGTGTTAGTCTGGTGTATCTGAAGCAAAATGCAGGACTATGTAGCACTTTAAAGACTAACAAGATGGTTTATTAGATGATGAGCTTTCATGGGCCAGACCCACGATCAAAAATATCAGATAAAAAATAAATAAATAAATAGGAGAGGGGAAGGGGAGGGGGAAGAAAAAGAAAAAAGAAAAAAAGAAGGAGTGTGTGAGACAGAGCATCATTAAGTATCTGGAGAATGGGTACTTAAACTTAATCAGATAAAAATCAAAGTCAATAGATAGATTGCTAAGACAGGAAGGATACCACTCAGAGAGCTATTAGCACCTTCAGTGGTTATTAAGTAGGTAGTGTCCTAGCCAGCCCATATCACAATTGAGTCCATTAGCATGTGAATTGAATTTGTGGATGAACTGGGATTCCAGTCCATAGGGATTCCAGTCCTTCCCTGTGAAGGAACAGGAACCTATAAAATGAGGATAAGCTCCACAAAGATGCTAAAAACTGAGCAATATACCTGGTAGTCTCCACTGGCAAGAGTGGCTGGTAGGCTGGCACTGTAAGCCATGGCAACACCACCTGTCTGATTGCTGTCTGCTCGAAGATACAGGAAGTGCCCTATGAGCAGAAAAATGAATTTAAATAACAATATAAGTTCATGCAACCAGCAAGAAATGTCTGTTGACATTTCCCTTCTGTATATCCTTTGCCTGCAGATTAGAGAGGAAATTTATTTTTAAAAAAATCTGATATTTTTCTTTTTCATGCATTTGAAAAATAATTTCACACCATTGTGCTGAAGCCTCTGTTGCAGAAGGGTGAGGATCTCTCAATGAGGTGGCAAACTCAAATGCACTGAAAACCTATGGACAGATGGATTTTAGACACATGGGAACTGAAATTGCAAGACCTTCATTGGCCCATCAATGGATACTCTTCAGATAGCATTCCTACACCTTTCCATACAATGACTTGAGGGCACAAGAACTGAAATTTACAATGAGCTTCCCCATAGCTAATACTCCTACCATATTCTCTCTGGTGGGAGCAGTTTGGAGTGAACTACCTGTTTCTGGTCCTTTGTATCCAGGAAGGAAGGTCTATCTAGGTTCTCAGGAAAAAAAAAAAAAAGAAAAGGACTAAGAGGTTACATCTACGCTGTTGCCTTCTTGCAGAAAAGCTTATGCAAATGAAGCTCGGTGTGGAATATGGCCCATGCTTCATTTGCATAATTAATGAGCATCCGTTTTTGCGCAAGAGGCTTTTGCACAAAAAAGAGCTGTGTAGATGGCTCCTTTTTGCGCAAAAGCCCCCTCTAACATAGGAAGAACAGCTCTTGCACAGGGGAGGAGGAAGAATTGCACAAAAAGGAGCCGTCTACACGGCGGGGGAGGAGGAAGAATTGTGCAAAAAGGAGCAGTCTACACGGCTCTTTTTTGCACAAACACCTCTTGGTTTTGCACAAGGCATAAGGGATCGGTCAGAAAAGACTTTCCTTGTCAACCGATCCCCGTCTAGACTGTTGCTTTTTGCTGGCAAAGTGCTGCGGTGGCAAAAAGCGGCGGCCATTTCTATTCAAATGAAGCACAGGATATTTAAATCCCCACTTCATTTGCAATAGCGATGTGCCTAATCCACATCCCTCTGTTGGCAGAGGGATGTAGTTTAGACACACCCTAGGTCACACCTAGGGCAATATTATCCTAAGTATTTTCTATGAACACAAGCAAGAGCAAAATATGCTATACAGGCAGTCCCCGGGCTACGTACAAGATAGGGACTGTAGGTTTGTTCTTAAGTTGAATTTGTATGTAAGTCGGAACTGGTACATATTGTAGGGGAAACTCGAGCCAAACATTTCTCCAGAGCTCAGTTTTATTCTCCCACACCTCACTTCCCTCAGTCCTTTATTCTCAAGCTGAGGTGTCTGCTGAGAAAAGCCGCTCCGCATCTCCCTGATCTGCTGGGGGGGGGGGCGCTAGCTTCGCGTCTCCCTGGTCTGCTGGGGGGGAAGCAGCTAGTGCGGGGTTGCCTCACCCCGTTTGTAAGTAGGGATCCGATGTAAGTCGGATCCATGTAACCCGGGGACTGCCTGTACCATGAATTCCTCTAAACTTGTCAGAGAACTATTGAACCATAGTAGACTTTTTGTAGCTTGGATGGCCAACCTTTGCTAGTTTTTAGCCCTACTTCATAGAGGCCCCTAGCCTCCCAATGTGTTCCTTTCAAACTGACTGATGTTATTTTGGATCTTTTTTATATAGGTCTTTGAACCAGAACTGAAAACACACTGGGCTCAGTTTAACAGTTCTAGCTAACTGGTGAACATGAAGATGATTTGGTGAGATGGCCCAATATTTTTAAAACCATTTCTAAAAAACATTTGAGATGAGAGAAAGAGAGAAGGGGAGGGGGAAGAGAGGGAGAGAGCACCATGAGGAACATACCTCTGGTGGCTAGCAAGGCAGATCCTGTGAATGGAGCTTCTTGTGTCATTTCTTCAAAGCCCCTGATGGACCAGGAGGGAGAGACAGTGTCATTCAATATCCAGCCACAGGGACCCTGTTCAAAAGAACAGTGTGCTCCCACTGGGAGACTGTCTGCTGGAAAGGATTAGAAAAAGTGGGTTATTTCACACAGATCTGATTAGGGAACAAGAGAGCAAGAAAACTGAAGAGTCAACTATGGTCACTTTCACTATGTTTCTCAAGGGTGCTACGAAGCTAATACTATATAGTCTTCTACCAAGAGAAAAGGTGGGTGAGGTAATATCTTTTATTTAAATCCCCTGCGGCATTTGCATTTACATGCCTGCCGCTTTTTTCCGGCTCGGGGTTTTTGCCGGAGAAAAGCGCCAGTGTAGACGCAATTCTCTGGAAAATAAGCCCTTTTCCGGAGGATCCCTTATTCCTACTTTCAATCCCCCGTGGATTTGCAATTCCGAAGTGTCTCATTAGCATCCCTTTTCCGGAAAGGGATGCCAATGTAGACACAGCCTTGGTGAAAGGGACAAGCTTTTGAGATTAAACAGAGCTTTTCTTCAGGTCAACATTGCTTATTAGTTTTCTGCCAAGAAATGGTAAAATGGCTTATTAGTTTATAATCAGGTACAATAGTCACCATCAGAAAGCCAACGTTCATCACTTAGTCGTATGAGAGATATTGCTATTATTTCATATTCTAAGTGCAGTTGAAAACAGCTTTTGCCTTGCTCTGAAGTAGCAGGAACTGCTCTAAGGATACCAGACTCAGTAGACTAGTGATTTGATCCTGTATAGAAAGTCCGATATTCCTGTTCCCAGGAGTGTATAGCCTCTATGTATAGCCCAGGCTCATGTGTCCAGTTAAAGTAGGTAGACAAAATAGCTAATTAATCTCTATATGTAATCAATTTAACTCTCTATATTATTATTCCTACTGAGCTGAGCTGGTAGAAAAGAGGACTGTTTTTAACAGTCTAGTTGATAGCTTTTGGTTGCCTTTTTTATTAAAACTGTTTCTATATGTAACTGGTGTATTGGATGGGTATATTTTATTATATGAATCAATACATACGTACAGTCAGTGGTGAGGTTAATCCCAGGTGTTTATTTCTAATGGTATCTCAAGGGATATATTTCTTGACTTGTTGTATTCTACAGAGAGTTGGTAGATGGTACAGTGACCCACAGAAATTTTCAGAATATACACTCCCTAATTCTGAATATAGATTTGGTGGAACATCCTTTTCGAAGTGCTTGCATGATCAACCTCACTGAGCTCTCCTGACCGGTTGGCTTGTGGCAGGTGTTTTGACTGATGCAATTGGGACAACAAATGATACCTCTAAGGGAATTCTCTCCCCTCTAAAAAAATTAAAAATTCTATGTATAATAATTTTAAATTCTCCATATTTCTGCATATTTAATTTGTCAAAATAACAATTATGCTCCTGCTGTCAGCCCCAAGTCCCAGGTGCTGAAGACTGAAAGCGGGAGCCCCATCCTCATGGGTCCAACTGCCGGAGCCCTAACCACCCAGGCTGACTGTGGGAGTCCTAGCTGTGTATGCCAGGTGCAGGTAGGAGCCCTAGGGTAGAATCACAAACAGTGTGTGAAAAAATAAAATTCTGTGGGGAGCATTAATTCTCTGCCAAGTCTGCATTGTACAGTACAGTGGTTCAGAATTCCAGAGGAGTAAAATGAGGAACAACTGAAGGAACCTCTTAATGGAGCAGGGTCCTTACTCACCACATAGGGCCTCTTCATTCTCTTTGGCAGGGCAATCACTGTGAAAATCACACACCTGCAATTGGCTGACACAGCCCCTGTGTGGGCAGGGGAAAGTGGAGCCCTTGTCGTAGGTGGAAAGATCCTTGCTTTCTTTCTCTAACAGAGACAAAGAAAGAAGCCCAGAGAGGGGAGTCAGCAGAATGTCTAGGGCAGGCTTTGGTTTGGATGTTTCTTCAGTCACACTCATGTTCCTATGCCCTTGCTAAATTATAAAGACAATCAGTCCATATAATAACAATTATTATTAATAATAAATACTCATTTAATTTTAATGTTCGTGCCAGAAAGTCTCTAAGCATGTACTGAAATGTAGCTGAAAAAGAAATTAACAAAAAAAGTTCAAGTGAACAATCAGGAGAATCAACTTGCAAATAAACCAAACCTGTACAATCTTAGTAACATTAAATAAACATCTTACAGCCCACCCTAAACAAAAAAAATCTACAGGCAAAGGGGGGGGGCATACTAAAGGTGCCTTGTCAGATCCTACTCCCTATTCTCTCAAGACTGTGCCATGGGACTGTCAGCAGTTCCCAGATATTGCGAAAGATAGTCCCCCAGATAGGTTATGGTATATCATTTAAGGCTTATACTAAATGTGTGACCTTGAAATACATTCCCTGGATAATAGATTAGCTTTATAGCTAGTAGATTTACCACTGGTTTCATAAGATTCCCTTAGGGCACGCGGGTTATCAAATGGACCTGATTTATTGTGTTCTTTCCTCATTCCTTCCTGCCATTTCCCCATGAGCCTTTGTACTTGCACAACATTCAAAGCCACTGCCATGTCTATAAATTATCCTCTCTGGCTTAAATCACTCAAGTGCACAGGCACAATAGGGATTTTATTTTTTGTACACTACACTTTGCACACGTAAAACACATGAATGCTTCTACACGGTTCAGAAGATTATATCCAAAATGTAGATTGCTTAAAAAAAACCCACTAAAGTAAATAAAACAGAAAAAAAAACCTGGTATTAGGATCAGAATTGTTTTCCTGACATTTTAAAAAGTCAGAGAAAACAATATGTTGTTGGATATTTGTAAATGTAAAGCTTTTTCTGTAGTTTGCAATCCAGAACCAATAGCGTGATGCGACTTCATAAGAATCATACAATGAAGCTGAGTAGGACCCTGATCCTGCATGCTGCTTTGAACAAATGGACCCCTGCACTCACAAGGCACATCACTGAAGTCAGTGAGACTCCACACAGGTTCAGGGGTCAGTCTGTATGAAGCACTTAGTAGGACCAGGGCCTATCACTGCCAGATGAAACTGCCCAAGATAGACTCATGGCTAACCGGAGTGAACTACATGCAGTGAAAAGCAGCATGCATGGTGAAAAACCATGCTTGCTCATCCAGCTTGGTCTAACACACCTCCCTAACCAATTTATTCCAGTATTTAACCACCTTGACAGTAAGGAAGTTTTTCCTAATGTCCAACCTAAATACAGTAAAACTCCAATAGTCCGGCACTTCTGACAGTCCGGCATCAAAATGGCAAGAGCCTAGTGAATGAGCTTTGGCAAAAAATGAGTCACAAGGTAACAACGGCAGCAGCTGAACTGAGCAAAAAGGATAAAAAAGGCTTAAAAAAACTAAAACATTACAGTATACAGTATGTACAATAAAAAGGGTTAAGTACACTTTATATAGAATATATAATGTATACAGTATATATATATATATATATAACCAGTTTATAGTACCTCCTGATAGTCTGGCATATTTGATAATCCGGCACCACCTAGGTCAAATAGGTTCCAGATTATTGGAAGTCTACTGTACTATATTTGGGGAAGTATAAATCACCAAATTAACTAGTCCTCAGATTTTGCCAGATTAGGTCCTGGTGGTCTATAGCACACCCCAAGCACTATCCCAGGGGAGGATATCCTAGGGGAGGGGGTTTTCTTCCCCAATGTGATTTTTGCCCAAACAACTCTGTCTTCTCCATTCCATCACTTTTTATTTCTTTACAATCTACCTCATCTTTGATATACAATGCGACTCCACCACCTTTACCCTTATTTCTGTCTTTCCTAAACAGCACATACCCTTCAATACCTGTACTCCAGTCATGCCCAGTATTCCACCATGTTTCTGTTAGTCCTATAATATCTGGTTTCACTTCCTGGACCAATAGCTCTAGTTCCTCCATTTTGTTACCTAGGCTCCTTGCATTGGTGTACAAACATCTTAATTTTTGCTGTTTGGCCTCACTCACATTCTTTACCCAATTTGGCAAGGACATTGTACCTCTAATGTGACTTGTTAGACTAGTATCCACCCTACCCTTCTTCATGTACATTCTCCTACCCCCAGCTATATCCTTTCTTACTTCATTTTCCTCCCTCTCAGTTTTAAAATCCGGCCTAGAGATTACCTGGACATCACGTAGACCTGCCTTTTCCTAGTGACAGTGTGATTCTCTGGTCTATCTCTTGCTTCCTCTGTCTGCAAGTCCTTGCCATTCCTGTTTTCCTTTGTAATCCTCTTTAACCCATCCTGTATCCCCCCGATGCTCATTATTGGTGTTGTCTCCATTAACTCTTCCCCTTTATCTATGGAACTAGCCACTCTTCTCTTCTTCCTTACCCTTCCATCTTCATTATCTACCTGCTGTACCCCTTCTTCATTCTCCAACTCCACATACCTGTTCTTGAGCTCTAGTTTTCCTTCACTGACCCATCTTTTCCTCTGCCTGGTTCTCATAGTCACATGCTTCCACTGTCCATTTTCTTCGCCCAGCAGTCCCCCCTCTGAGGCCCTTGATCCTGCTTCCCATCTGCATATCTAAACTTTCCCCTTCAGCCACATCATGCCTTTGCTCCATCATCTGCTCAAACTCCTTTCTAAACTCAGCCAGAGTTTCCACCTGCATCTCCAGTCCTCGGATCTTTTCTTCCATCAGCTCTATCAGGCGGCACTTCATGCAAACAAAACTCATTTCAGGTAATCCCTCCAGAATCATGTATATACCGCAGCTACCACATCCAATCATCCTCCTTGTGTTCTCTACTATTTGGGCCATGGCCACTACTGCCTCTGTGTTTTATCTACTTTCTCATCAAACTCCTATTAGTCCGATGAACACAAAAACAAACCAAAACACCCCCTCCACAGCAAAAACAAACCCCAAACAAGTCTCAATATCCAAACTCCCTTTACAAACTCCCCTGTTTACAGCTCCGTTTGCTGGCTCCTGTGCCACTGCAGCTATCTATGCTGCTGCCTGACTAGAAGGCTACCTTTATAGGACCCCTAATCAGGGCTTAGCTTCTCTACCAGCACACTGGATGAGGTACACCACATGTTGTGATAGGTATGTGTGGGACCCATGGATCTTGAAAGCTGCGTGCAGGTTTTGCATCTGTAGTTCTGGCAGGGTTTGGTGTAGCTTAGAGTTGTGGGTCCAGGTCTGTGGGGTGCTTGCTTCTGATGAAGAGTTTGGAAAGGTGTTGGAAGGCCAGTGGGAGGGTTCACGAAGGATTTCTTTCAAGAGGGGGTCACCATTAAGTAGGGATTGTAATCAGTGTTCCCTTTAACTGTACACTCGTGTGGCCACTCAGGAGAGATTCAAAGGCCGCCCAGCTGATAAGCAGAGGGCCCACAGAGAGGTTTTTGGTTCTATTGGTGATACACATTTACATGTGCTTCAGTGCACACAGCAACATGTATTCCACTCATGAATGGAAAAAATGTGCACATAGGCAGAGGGAAAATCGGTTGTAATTGTTTGATACCCTCTGTGGGTTTTTGCATGGGATGATTGACTAGGTGTATGTGAACAGAAGGGGTTATTGTGGCCTTCTCCTAGATCATACTCAGTAATTTTAGTGCCTTTTTTTTTCCATTTCTGACTACATTCATTTTAGATTTTTTTACTGGATATGTTGGAACCTACCATGGAAGCAGTCCCTGAACTGCAAGGAGCCCAATGCCAACAGTCCAGATCCTTGCATACCACAGGTTGAATACCGGAGGGAGATCTCAAAAGGCCTCTGCACTTTGCCAATCTGAGCCATGAGTACTTTCCACTTCATCCTGTGACAAGACACCAAACAGCAATCATGCACATGTTGAGCACTTGGAAACCTAATCTGCTTAGGCACCTTATAAACCCCACGAGGTGCCCATCTGCATCATGAGGCTCCTAAATACCTTTAAATATGTGGCCCTTAAAGCTGGCTCCCTTCCTCATTTCCAGCTGCTAAATGGCTTTAAAAGACAGCTAACAATACATAAAATACATTCCTAATGTTATTTTTCCATGCAAGAATTTTCTGAAGCAGCCACCAAGATGTTACATCATTGTCAAAGTATATTTGATCACAAAAGGATAGGGTGATGGGCCACACAATGGTTAATGGGAGGCTTGCACAAAATACTTTATTAGGATGTGATGCATACTATGAAAACATGAGTGTCCCTGTTTCAAGCATACAAAATAGTGTAGAATGGGCCCCTCTCATGTATGTAGGCCCGTGTTAATGGATTAACTACCTAATTCATTGCCAGTGTTTCACATCAACTGCACACCCTTTCTCTGGTCAGAAGACGCTGCTATCCTTCCCCATCTTTTCTTCCCCAACATCCCTTTGGAGGTTCACCCACCCCTAATGAAAACAAGGATAGCCCTCAGCCCTTTTAGAAGATGAAAATATTTAACCTTTTCACACTTTTGTCATTTCATGCAGAATTATAGCTTTCCCAACATTGTAATATCATTACATTCCATTTCAGAAATCTCCAGCTCTGAATCACAACTCTATTACCTCTCTCCCAGAGTAAAGTAATCAAGAGCCTCCAGCAATGACATATGATTGTTTTACTGAATAGCTTCCAGGAATCTGCAGCACTAAGCTAGAAATGGATTTATCTTTGGTATAACACCACACAAAATCCAAGACCATTCAGCACTGGAACACAGCTCTGCCATTTCTATTATATTATCCAGGTCCAGCCTTAGGGCAAGGTGAGCAAGATGGTTGCCTTGAGCTCTGCACTGCTCGGTGCCCGCCTACGAGGTTGCTTGCTCACTGCCCTGGCTGGGAACCGCCCAGCCACATGGTGCAGCCAACCACAACATGCCACCTTGGGTCCCACACACTCTTTGGCCGGGCCTGATATTTCCTGGTATACTATAGCCATTGTGTTACTCCCACTGAGACACAGCTCTGTTACTTCCCCTGGAACACAGCATATTGCCCACATTCTCCAGCTGAGTCACCACTGCATTCTCACATCAAAGCAGCCAGGAATTTCTGGTACTAAGTCCTAATTACATTACCTCCATTCTGTATTACAGCAGCTCATCCAAGAATATTCAGCCCTGAATCATGACTCCATTACCTCCATTATATTATGATACTGCAACCAAAAGTTCCAGTACTGAGACTTGATGCCATACAGTATGGCAGCACCTAGAACCCGCATATAATAGTTAGCTCTGGATCATCCCAAATACTTAGGGCTGTGTCTACATTGGCGTGATCTTGCACAAAAGCGGCTGCTTTTGCACCAAAACTTGCTGCCTGTCTACACTGGCCACGAGTTCTTGTGCAAGAACACTGACATTCTAATGTAAGAAATCAGTGCTTCTTGAGCAAGAACTATGATGCTCCCACTCAGGAATAAGCCCTCTTGCGCAACTCTTCTTGTGCAAGAGGCCATTGTAGACAGGCAACATGAATTTCTTGTGCAAGAAAGCCCTATGGTTAAAATGGCCATCGGAGCTTTCTTGCGCAAGAGAGCGTCTACACTGGCATAGATGCTCTTGCACAAAAGCACATCTCTTGTGCAAAGGCACATGCCAGTGTAGACACTCTCTTCTGGAAGAGTTTTTGCACAAGAACTCTTCTGCAAAAGAGTTCGTGAGCAAAATCATGCCAGTGTAGACGTAGCCATGGTGTACACCTTATCACCAAGGAGCACTGCCTAAGTATTCCCTAGGGCAGCTGTATTCTGATACACACCCTCAAGTCCAAGATCTAACTGCAGCAAGTTCTCTACATCCTTGAATACTGCACTTTCTTTGCTTGGTTCTGGTATCCAAACACGAGCTATTCTGAGCCAATTTAATTTTCTTAATGGAATCAGGAACAAAGCCCTTAGCAGAAGATGGATCACTGAAGCTGGCTTTCAGATAAGCCCAGCCTGGCAATACCTTTACTATCGATTTTACATCAGGCTAGAACTCAGTAAACTAGTTAATATTACTACACTTCTAAATATAGACACTGAAACTTCTGTGGACACTCCTAGGGGCTCACAGAGCCTGCAAGGAAAGAGAACGAGTACAGAGCGGCAACCACTTGATGTTTAATGTTCATCAATATTCTTAGCATTAGGAGGCTTGCAGCTCTCTGTTTCACTCTGTTGAACAAAGCCCCCTTCCTCCCAGTTATGACCTTCTACTCAGTGTCTTGCTATCTCCAATAAAGAGAATGGCTGTTGACTTTCCAGTAACAATATTTAAGAGTCCAGACAACAGTTGCTTTATTAAGAATGATGAGTTCAACTACATGAGCAGGAGAATTGGAATATTCTCAAGGGTATATCTGCACAGCAGCATTATTTCGGAGTAACTGATGTTACTCCAAAATGACATAGTGTGCCTCTACACAGCAAGCCTTTATTTCAAAACAATGTCGAGCTGGAGGACTTCTTACTCGGACTCATAGTAACCTTCATGTCACAAGGAGTAAGGGAAGTCGAAGGAAGAGTGTTCTTCCTTCGACTTCCTTCTGCATAGACAGCGCCAAAAGCCGAATTAAACTATTTTGGCTTAAGCTATGCAATTGACACAGCTCAAGCTGCGTTGCTTAATTCGACATTTGCCCTGATGTGTAGATGTGCCCTAAGTTAGAGGAACAGGTTCTGACAGGACCCTCTCCACACAACTGTCTAGCAGGGATCTACTATGTGACACTATCTTAAATCACAGAAGACATGAATTGGAAGCATTATATCAGCTATTTAATTTTTCTGGTAGTTGATTGGTGGCTAGTGAAATGAAGGCAGCTAGAATGAAGGAAGTTAACCAAATGGAAAATTACACCAGGGTCATAGGAGCAACAAGAGAGATAACAGTGATGGAATCTGATCATCATCTTACATATCTATACATAAATGCAAAGTGTAGGAGGAATAATCAAGAAGCACTGGAATTATTAGCACATAAACTAATAGGATTAAATTATTAGGATTTATTTAGCACCACGGATACTTGGAAAAAATCTCATGATTCAGATTTATAGAGAAAGATATCTTGGTCAGGGAAGGCAGGCAGGGAAAAGAGAAAGGGCATATTGCATTATGCATCAAGAATATATAGACTTGTTCTCAGATCCAGAATGAGGTCAGAGGCAGAAGAGTTGACAGTCTCAGGGAAAGCCAGCAGGTCAGAGCTGCTGACAGAACTGCTGGGCCCTTGGGCAAGATGGGGCAGACCCAGCTCTTGAACCCTGGAAGGTACAGGGCCTTTGGCAGAAGGGGCAGAGTTGGGGGCTGGCCTCCCCCAGTCAGCCCTTCAGAGCTGCCCAGCCCACACCATTCAGGGCTCAGGTGGGGATTTAAAGGTCCCAGGGTTCCAGCTGCGCACACAGTAGCAGCAGCGACCAGGAGCTCTGGACCCATTTAAATTGCCGGGACTTGGGCAGCTGCCCCTTCCGCTCCTCCACCACCTGCATCGGCAGCCCTAGCCCTGGTGAAGGAGTTGAGGGTACATGTGACATTCTCATTCTCAACTTAGCAAGGAAGGGAAGCTAATAAATGGACAACATCAAGAAGGCTGAAATGTTAAGTGCCTAATTTTGCTTCAGTCTTTACAAAAACGGTAAATTGTGACCAAACCCTTATCACGATTTACATTAACAACACGGGAAAGAACACAGCTTTTTGAATGTAACCCTTCTGCCAAGCCGAGTTAATAGCAGCAAGGGCCGGGTTCAGTATCTATTGGTCCCAACAACATAATACAACACTGGCTCGAGCCCCCACCCAGTGACCTGGGAAATCTTACACACACCCCTGGGCACCTCAAAGAGGCAATTCTTCCCCTCTTGCAAGCACAGAGCCTCGGTATAGCAGCAAATCTTTAACAACATGAGGTAACTGACATCAGCATTAAATTGGGAAAACACCACAACTCGGATTCATAGACCAAGCATGAGCAAAGACCCATCCCCAGCCAAGAATCACCCAAAGTCCCCAAAAGTCCAACAGCCCAAGAGTCTCTGCCCCTGGTCAGTGCTGCCCCAGAGTTCAAAAGTTCACCAGCAGGGTTTTACCATCCCAACCTGGATGGAATGGAGGGAGGCAGGGGTTGATACACCTTACGTGGTCCACCAATGGCTCCGCCTCTCCATAAGGTTCTGCTGTCACTGTCAACGGAAGTCACTCCACCACACTACACCTGCTGTCCCATGAGCTGCTCCAGCCATCCCACGAACTTCCCTGCTCTGCCAGCCGTCTCGGTCCACACCCCTGGCCGCCAGCTGGTTGTTCCTGCAGATGCTCCACTGGCTGCCTGCTGCCCCTCTGGTCATCCCCACCAGCCGCTCTGCTGGCCACCTGCGCCCGTCAGTCATTCCCACAAACTGCTCTGCTAGTAGCTCAGCAGTATAGCATCAGGCTCCCCACAGCACATAATGATTTCATCTCATAGTAGATTTCAGCTTTTCAGCAAGTTCAGTTTATAGTAGAGGAGCCTCAGTGCTAGTGCACCATTGGCCCACAGTGAAGTCAGCTCAGCAGCTCACAACTAGACTCTTAATAGAATCCAAATTAATTCTGATACTCCACAGTGGAGAGAGGAAGGGGTGCAATTAGTGTGTTTTAGACCCTCAGATAGGCCCCACCACCAGGTACAAATACCTACCCCCAACCTCTCTCAGCTTGACTGGGTTTGGAACCCAGGACCTTTGTCTAGCAAGTGCTACATAGTTTATGGCGAATCCCTTTGTCATAAAATAGTTCAACTATTCCACTGTCCTTGATTCACATAATCAGGGTAACAACACTTTATCCCCCCTGCCTCAATA